TTTCCAAAGATTGGTCATATTTACAGGTACAATGCTTAGGGTTTCAACATAACTTTGTGTGTGTGTGGTGAATATACATATGACAAAATTTTTTATTTTCAACATAACTTTTTGGAGGACACAATTCAATGCATTTCAGGTGCTACTGTGATCTTTCAGGGAGCAGGGACAATGGAGTGCCAGGTTAGAAGCCAGGGAGGGGTGAGAAGTACTCAGGGGGTGTATATATTTGTACAGAATAGCCAATAGGATTTTCTGATGGTTTGTGTTAAAGAAAGAGAGGTACCAAGGAGACACCAAGTGTGTGACCTGGGCAACAGCGCAGAACTGCCTTTAATTGAGATGAGGAAGAAGATAGGAGCATAGGCTCTTCTCCAGGGGAGGACCAAGAACTCTTGTGTGTTCACTTTAGGTGGGCCGAACCTCTTGGATATCTGAGAGGAGTTGCTAAGAACACAATGGATATCTGGACACCAAAGGAACCATCTGATATGGAGAGATAAACATTATTAGTCATCAACATAATATTGCTTGTCATAAACTGACATATAAGAGCTCTTTTCTAGAAAATTCTTCACATGAACTTTCTCACCAGAGGCTCATGAAAATGCAGGGATGAGGAATTGGCATAATTATCCTCATTTCACAGATATTGCAACTACCTCTGTCAGGAGCTGGGAGCACTGGACGAGGTCCACAGTTAATGGTGACAGAGATGGTTCTTGGACCCAGTGCTTATATGTCTTTTCTGTCTCTTATATTTGCTGTTTCTGCAAAAGAAAAAAAAAAAAAAAAGGCTTTTCCAGGCAGAGACTCTTGTTATGTTAGTGTGTGGTGACCAGAGAGAGTGTGAGAATTGTGAGAAGTGATAAGGAAAGAAACAACGAGAAAGAGAGATTGACCTTGAAGATCCATTTGAATGCATATAGCTGAGGGTATCTGCACACTGTGGGAAACACTGGACATCCTCAGCACATGGGCAGGCCCATCTACCTTGAGAATGTATGTGGCCTTATATACAGAGAGCAAGGCTGTAGAGTCACCTTCTTTATCCTTTGCAGGGAGCTAAGGTCAATATGAACACAAAAACATGCGAATGTGTAGTACATGCCAATATCGTCCATTTGTAAAAGCATGGTTATCTTTTCTAAATTCCTGAAGACATTTCTTATTTTATCACTGACTGTCCTCATAGAAAAGAGTGAAGCAGTGAAATTGTACTACATTTACATCAAGAAGAAGCTCTCCTGTAATTAAAGTGTCAAGATTTTGCTTTCAGAAAATGTACATTGCAAACCTCTTCACTGTATATTATTTTATTCAGCCCGCTCATATATATTGAACTCATATTATGAGCCAGGCACCATTCTAAGGGATTTCAATATCATGAACAAAAGTGGTGCATGTTTTATTGGGATGAGAGAAATGGTGAAAGAGCAAATATGTAAGCAGGTATGGATCAAATGGTCTAGGTGTTGTGCATAAAAGTAAAGCTAGTGGCTAGAAAGTGGAAGACACTTATAGTTTTTAATATGACTTTCATGGAAGGTCTCTTAACAAGTTGGCATTTGAGTAAAGATCTGAAGCACATGAGAGATAGAAATCTGGGAAAAAGAAGAGAAAATGCAAAGTCCCAGAGGTAGGAATGTGTCTAGTTTCTTTCTGAGTAAACTCAGTGAGTGAGGGGTAAGTTTGGGAGAGGAATGGTATGAGACGAGGTCAGAGTAACAGCATTAGTAATGAGGAGGATCATGTAGGGCCTGTGTGCCATTCAGAGGATTTGGGTTTTGTTTGGAGTAATTTAAGAAGTCATTGACAAAATTTCAGCTTGAGAGTTACATCATATGACTTACAATGTAGCAGAATGATTTGAACTACCATGAGAATAACTCAAAGGGTTCAATGGTGAAAACCTGGAGACCAGGTGTAATGATTTAGCTCAGAGCAAATGGTGACTTGGATCAGGATAATAGCCATGGAGGTGGTAAGATCTAATTGGATTCTGAGATATTTTGAATGTACAAAGTCAAGTGGGTTTTTTGATTGTTTGAATATAGTGGATGAAAGATATAGAGGAATTAAAACTGGATCCAAGATTTCTGCCTTGAGTAAATAAAGACTAAAGCAGATCTTAAGTTTCATTACTTTCCCTTATTGTAACACATAAATTATCTCTTGGAAAGAATATGGTTCAAGCCCCATTAGAGATAGTTTACAAAGTCCAGGTGATCCTGGATAAGAATTAATGTCACATGGCAAAGCCAAGAATTTGCCTGTTGCAAAAAAGGGAAATCAAAGACATCCAAACTGGTAAGGAAGAAGTAAAACTATCCGTATTTGCTGATGAGGTGATCATACATATAGAAAACCCAAGAGACTCAGTAAAAAAAAAAAAAAAAAAAAAAAAAACTACTGTAGCTAATTGAGAGATTTAGTGTAGTGATAGGATACAAGATCAACATATACAAATCAGTTGGATTCCTCTCCACCAGCAAAGAGGTTGCTGAAAAAGAAATAAGGAATTATTTTTTTAATTATCCTGAAAAAGAAATAGGGAAGAAATAAAGAAATAGGGAAATCAATACCATTCAAAATAAACCCTCTGGTAGCATAGTGCCTAAGGCACTTGACTGCTAACCAGAAGGCTGGTGGTTCAAACCCACAAGCCATTCCTCTGAAGGAAGTTCAGGCAATCTACTTCCATCTTAATATCGCCTTGGAAACCCAAGGAGGGGTTGATATGAGTTGGATTTGACTCAATGGCACATAACAACAACAAAAACCTAAAGTCACTGCTCCTGAGTTGGATCTGATTCATAGTGATCTTTTCTTGCTTTTTGGAGACAGTATCACTAAGGGAGTAGGTTACCCAATCTTCCTTCGGAGGAGTGGCTGGTGAGTTTGAACCACCAGCCTTCTGGTTACCAGTCAAGTACCTTAGTTATTACACCACCAGAGCTCCTAGCATTTACAATAGCCACCAAAAAATAAAATACTTGGGAATAAATCTTACCAGGGACACAAAAGGCCTGTATAAAGAAAACTACAAAAGACTACTTCAAGAAACCATAAAAGATCTACATAAATGGAAGATCATACCATGCTCATGGATAGGAAGATTGAACATTGTGAAAATGTCAATTTTACCCAAAGCAATCTACATTCAATACAATCCCAATCCAGATCCCATCAACATTCTTTAAGGATATGGAAAAAACAAGCAGTAACTTCATATGGAAAGGAAAAAGACCTCCAGTAAGCAGAGCACTATCGAAGAAGAAGAACAAAGTAGGAGGTCTCACCCTCCCAGATCTCAAAACCTGCTATACAGTCACAATAGTTAAAACTACTTGGTCTTTGTACAACCACAGACACATAGACCAATGGAATAGAATTGAGAACCCAGAAACAGATCCCTCCACCTATGATCAGCTGATAGGAGCTCTGGTAGCATAGTGGCTAAGGCACTTGACTGCTAACCAGAAGGCTGGTGGTTCAAACCCACCAGCCACTCCTCGGAAGGAAGGTTGGGCATTCCTACTTCCGTAGTGATACTGCCTCGGAAACCCAAGGAGGGGTCGCTATGAGTCGGGGCCGACTCGATGGCAAACAACAACAACAACATGATCAGCTGATATTTGAAAAAGGGCTGAAATCTGTTAAATGGGGAAGAGATTGTCTGTTTAACAAATGGTGCTGGCAAAACTGGATATTGATTTGCAGAAAAATAAAACAATATCTGTACCTCACACCATCCACAAAAACTAACTCCAGATGGATCAAAGACTTAAATGTGAAACCTAAAACTATAGAGTTCCTCAAAGACAAACTAAGGACAAATTTAGGGGCCTAATATATGGCAGTAGTAGACTATAAAGCATAACCCAAAATACACAAACAGCTGAAGATCAACTAGATGAATGGGACTTTCTAAAAATTAAATTATTATGTGCTTCAAAAGACTTTTCCAAAAGAGTCAAAAGAGAACCTACAGATTAGGAAAAAATATTCAGCAATGACATATTTGACAAGGGGATTATCTCTAAAATTTATAGAAAACTCCAACACCTCAACAACAAAAAGACAAATAATCCAGTTAAAAAAGGAGCAGACAACATGATAGACACTTCACCAAAGAGGATGTTCAGGCGGCCAATAGACACATGAAATGTTCGTGATCATTAGTCATGAGAGATATGCGAATGAAAACAACGAGATACCATCTTGCCCTAGCACTAGTAGCAAAGTTCAACAAGATAGAAAATAACAACTACTGGCAAGGATGTGGAGAAATTGGGACTGTAAAATGATACAACCACCATGGAAAACAGTGTGGTGATTCCTTAAAAAGTTTGAATTAGAAATACCATTTGATCCAGGAATTCCATTAATGGGTATATATCCTAAAGAAGTGAGAGCCAGTCTTTATTTAAAAATATATGTTAGTTAGAGTCTAGTCAGGAATAACACTACATCAATTATTTTAGTAGAGAGAATTTAATATAAAGAATCTTTAATCAGATATTGGAGAATTGAAATGAGAAAACAACTTTCATCCAAATCACAAGAAATTTTTTAAAAAAAGGAATTAAAGAATTTTCCTGCTAAAGGAAGCTGATCCAATTGTATTCTCAAGACTATTTATATTTTATTGGAAACATAAAACAACTGTTTCCACCCTTGATATGGAGAAACACGACTATTGATATACATTTTAATTCTGTAAGCTAGCAGATATCCTATCCCCTGTGTCATGGGAAGCTGAAAAAGTGTCCTATTCTATGTCCTTAAGCTTATGTTGCTGATGTCTGATAAGGTACAAAGAAAATCACTATCTGAAGAGGTAGAATGCAGGAGTAAGTAAATATATGTGAGTTATTTCAAGAATTTTTTTTTTTTTTTTTTTTTTTTTTGACATCTAGTCCCTTACTAGGTCCTGCTGAATTTTTTTTTTTTTTTTTTTTTTAACATATTCTCAGGTGGCCAGGAAGAATTGAGCCATGGAGACCTGGATGAACCGACCATCCACAGATGACTTTATCCTCTTGGGCATCTTTTCCTACCATGCAACTGATTTTGTTCTTTTCTCTACCATTATGATGGTCTTCACAGTGGCCCTCTGTGGGAATGTACTACTCATCTCCCTCATCTACATAGATCCTCAGCTTCATACACCCATGTACTTCTTCCTCAGTCAGCTTTCCCTCATGGATCTCATGCTGGTATGTAACATTGTGCCAAAAATGGCAGTGAACTTCCTGTCTGGCAGGAAGTCCATCTCCTTTGTGGGTTGTGGCATACAAATTGGCTTTTTTGTTTCTCTTGTGGGTTCCGAGGGACTCTTGCTGGGACTTATGGCTTATGACCGCTATGTGGCCATTAACCATCCACTTCACTATCCCATTCTCATGAGTCCAAGGGTCTGTCTCCAGATTGCTGGAGGATCCTGGGCCTTTGGCATACTAGATGGAGTGATCCAGATGGTGGCAGCCATGACCTTCCCCTACTGTGGCTCCAGGAACGTAGACCACTTCTTCTGTGAGGTGGAAGCTTTATTGAAACTGGCCTGTGCAGACACTTCCCTTTTCGAGAACCTGCTATTTGCTTGTTGTGTCTTCATGCTCCTCCTTCCTTTTTCCATCATCGTGACCTCCTATGCTCGCATTCTGGCTGCTGTGCTCCACATGCGCTCTGCTCAGGCCCGTAAAAAGGCTCTGGCCACCTGTTCCTCCCACTTGACAGCTGTCTCCCTCTTCTATGGGGCAGCCATGATTATCTACCTGAGGCCTAAGGGCTACCGGACCCCTAGCCATGACAAGGTGGTTTCTGTCTTCTACACAGTTCTTACTCCTATGCTCAACCCCCTAATTTATAGCTTGAGGAACCGAGAGGTGATGGGGGCACTGAGGAAGGGACTGGACCATTGTAGGTTTGTCATCCAGCATTGAAGTTCAGTATATCTGGTGCTTGATTCTGCCATGTTTTGGCTGTATACCATTGGTATATCACTCACTCTTTGTCAGTGTCTGTTTCCTCATCAATAAATGAGAATCATGACCCTTGTTCTACCTCATGAGGATGTTGTGGGGGTTGTTGCTTGTAAATCTAAAGCCCCATACAGAAGCAAAATATACTATTATTGTCATCACTGATTTTTAGTAAAGTTCTTAAACTAAATTCACTCCTTAATTCTTCTGTAATAGCAATCTTTTACTGAGTACTTACTAAGTCCTGGTCACTGTCCTATTTCTTTATATATCTTCTATATTATTTAATTGATGACTCAAAGTAATAAACATGGATATCGTAAATAGAAATGTTCTAGTTTGCAAAAGTCAAGTCTCTAGGTTGTTCTTAGATAGTTCCTAGCCTTATCTAATGTTCCATAGAAGCTTTACAATGCCTCTTTAAGGAACAAAGTATATCTCTACTGTTTGGAAGTTCTCTCTGCAGGCGTAATGCCTTGTATTTTTGTGTATTACTAGTCCCTGGCTCTGTGCTCTATAAAACTGTTATTGACTGCTCAATAAAACCTTATAGAATGAATGAAAGAAGAGAGCATTAAATGAGGTAATATGTATAAAAGCAGTTTGTAAAGCATTAGTCATAGGCCCAATTTTCTGTGACAGCTGAGAATCAATTCAGTACTTCACATGTGCAACTGAAATTATATATATTTTGCAGAATGAATATCAGAACAGAAATGAACACAATATTTGAGCCCTTATTTAAAATATATGTTAGTTAGAGTCTAGTCAGGAATAACACTATATCAATTATTTTAGTAGAGAAAATTAATATAAAGAATCTTATATCAGGTATTGGAGAAGTGAAATGACAAATCAAGAACACTAAGATTTACAGAAGGAAAAACTACAGTAAGAAGAGATAGTACTCTCTAGACCTGACAGATCAAAGGGAGAGGGTTAGGATTATTAAAACCTGGAATCTTGAAGGCAGAACACATGAGTGGTAGGCACAGCCCCACTGGTATTTATACCTCAGAAGCATTTGTATAGAGGTGACACCCAGACCTTTGAAAAGATTGCCTTGCCCTGACTTGTGGTGATACCTCCAGAACTCAGAGGAAGACGAGGAACTTGCAAAGTTGGAGCCTAGCCTCCTGAGAAGTGACTGCTATGTGGTTGGTTCAAGCACCTCAGTGGTTCAGAGGAGGGTCCCTGGTCTCATCCCAGACCTCTGAGGAATGATGCTAGTCAGTTGGTGCTTTTTTCTCTGAAGGACAGGATGAATCTGGTTCTGGGAGTGTGAAAATTAAGCCTGCAAAGTGGAACCAGCTGCCAGAATGAAGAAACATTGTCACAATTATATTGATAGGAACAACAGGAAATCATGAAGGAATTAGTTTCGTTCCCCCTTTTTCTGGCATACAGTCTCCTCTGTTCCCCTATTGGCAGATCCTGGTGTGAAGGAACCCTGGTGATACAATGGTAAAGTGTTCAGCTGCTAGGTTAGAACCCACCAGCTGCTCCACAGACGAAAGATGTAGCAGTCTGCTTCTGTAAATATTTACAGCCTTGGAAATCTTATAGGGCAATTCTACTCTGTCCTATAGGGTCACTATGAGTTGGAATTGACTCTATGGCAATAGGTTTGGTGTGAAGCTAAGCAGTCCTGGTGGTGCAGTGGTTAAGAGCTTGGTTGGTAATAGAAAAGTGAGTGCTTTGATATCACAAGCTGCCCCAAAGGAGAAAGATGTGGCTGTCTGCTTCTGTAGATTACAATGTTAGAAACTCTCTGGGGCAGCTCTACTCTGTCCTACAGAGTCATTGTGAGTGGAATTGACTTTATGGCAATGGGTTTTTTAGTGTGAAACTTGATAACCAAGAAGCTCCAACATCACACATTAGAACATATTAAGTATTGATTTGGAGCTAGGCAACAGCTTAACAATTGGCATAGTCCATCCTTTGGGCTACACAACATCCATCCATACAGTTTTACTTACACTTTGACATTCATAAAAACACACACAAAAAGCAAAAAGCTTTTGCTTAATAGAGTATATTTGTCCTTCATAAATATGATATTCATTCATGTGCAAGGTTAATTATACCTAAAATTCAGTCAGCATCTCATCTGAATATTAATTACCAACAATAATCAGAGAGAGAATAAGAGATATACACACACATATACATACCAATGCATCAACATAACAATTGTTTATGAGGCTATAATGGATATTTATAATTTCCTTCTTCCACTTCTCATTACCAATTTCCTTTGCCTTCAGCTAGAATCTTGTCTATTAGGGATTACTTACTTGCTCATGTAATCAACACCTCCATTTCAAAAACTCCTAATTCTCAATGGTATTACTTTTGCTTGTTTGCTGTACTTTTCCATTATTTTTTACTGTTGCACATGGAAGTGCTAATAGGTGTCCCAGGGAATTTCTTGTTTAGGAAAACAGAATGACAAATAGAAGAGGAATGGCATGGCATTCATCCTCAAAAAAAAACATTTCAAGATCTATTCTGATGGGAATTCTGGCAAGATGGTGGAATAGGCAGATAAGCTACACAGACCCTCTACAACAAATAAATGAGAAACCAATAGTAACAAATACAAAAGGTAACCCTGGAACCCTAAGCTTTGAAGGAAAGGATAAAGAAATGGATTAAATACCAACTAGCAGAAAAACCTGAATGAAAACAGTGAAAAAGGAGATAAACAGAGCTGCAGACTGTCAACTCTCCTGATATAACATGGCCAATTTGAATATTTATAAGGGGCATTTAGTTCAGGCAGAAACGTAAGAATCAACTCTGGTTGTTAAGGACTGGATGGGCAACTGCACTAGTGGTTGACAATTGAAAGGAACACAGTGAATAAGGAGACAAACAGAGCTGTGGACTGTTGGCTGTCCTGAGGGTGCAGCCATTTTGAATATTTGCAAGCCGTTTTCTGATCTGATCAGGAACCTAAGAATGGGCTCCATTTGCTAAGGGCAGCATGGGCAACTGCACTGGAGGCTGACCACTAGAAAGGTGTAATATTCCTCTTGTTACTCTTGTACCTCACACCTTCTTGGTGAACAGATGTATGGCCATCCCCCACTTCCACACATGTTCTGGACCAGCAAGAATTTCATCCCAGTCTGTGTGCTCTGGCAGAACCCAGGTGCCCTTCCGCCTCCTCCTACCCCTTGGCAGTTTTCTTTTTTAAATTATTCTTTCTTTTCTTTTCTTTATTCTTTTTTCTGTCCCACCCACCTTTTTGTTTTCCTTTATCTTTTCCCTTTTCCTGGTTCCCTTAGTTTTTCTTTCTTTTCTTTTTTTGGTTCTTTCCATACTGTTTTTCTTTTTGTGTTTTTCTCATTTACTCTGTATTCTTTTTCCTTTGCTCTATTCTCATATTTCCCCTAATGAGATACTTTGGTTTTAAATTTTAAAAAATTTTCTCTTTGTCTTTCTTTTATCATTTTAATTTTTTTCAATTATTGAATTTTCTTTTTTGCAATTGTTGCTGTCTGTTTATGCAGTTTGTGCTTTTTGTTTTTTTCTCTCTCTCCCTGGTGTTTTTTTGTTTTGTTTTTTGTCTAACCTTGTGGGAGACAGCAACAGTGCCCACATGACCCAACTACATCCAAACCTCCTGTAGCCCCACCCAGTGGATGGAGGTCACCACTTGCTTCTGCACCAATTATTCAACAACAGACAGAGGCTAATGCTAGTCCAACTCACCCTCATCTGCTCTTCATGAACAACTAATAAATATCTGTGTACACACACTCATTCTCTATCACATCCACCAGGAGATAGGTACTGAGTTCCTAAATGCTGCCAATGAATGAATAGAGGAGCACAGTAGTTCTGCTCACTCACATATATCAAAAGTAAAAAAAAAAAAAAATAAAATAAACCATTGGCAAATCACACCAACATACAAGCACCAATTAAGCATGAATACAATGGCATCACAATGTCTCAGAGACAACTGATCAGCCCAGTCCACACAAAAAAGCAAGATATGAGTAGTGCAAACAATGACCAGGATACAGACCAAGAAAATGTAACTGAGTAAGAAGCAGCATTGGAACTACCAGATAAGGAATTCAAAAGAATTATATTTAGGTACCTTCAATTGAGAGACAGATCAAGGAAAACACTGACAAAATTAAGGAAAACACAGACAAAAACTCTAGAACAATTTAAGAAAACAATTCAAGAACAAACTGACAAAATAAATGAAAAATTAGAAGCCATACTAAAACAACAAATAGGAATCCAGAGGATAAACACTAAGATTTCAGAAATAGATAGTATACAGAATGGGCAAAGGAATAGAATTGATTGAACGGAAGACAGATTTAGTGAGATTGAATACAAATACCTCAATGCTACTTTGTTAAGGGATCAATCAGGAAAAAAAGATCAAAACAAAATGAAGAAAGCCTAAGATCCTTGTGGAAATAATATATGTGTAATCAGAATTCCAGAACAGGAAGAGACTAATAAAGCCACAGAGAAATTTGTCAAAGATTGGTGGGAAAAGAAGTTCTCTAATATGATGAAAGATGAGAAGATATCCATTCAAGAAGTACAACAAACCCCAAACAGGATATATCTCAAAGGAAAATCACCGAGACATAAAATAATCAGTCACCAAAACCGATGACAAAGAACAAATACTGAAAACAGCATGACACAAGCAAAAAGTTGCCTACAAAGTGCAACCAATAAGACTAAGTTGTCATTTCTCTGCAGAAACCATGCATGCCAGAAGGCAATGGGATGATATATATAAAACCCTGAAAGAAAATATTTGCCAACCAACAATTATGTACCAAGCAAAATTGTCCCTCAAATATGATGATGAAATTAGGACATTTCCAGATAAACAGAAATTATGGGAATTTGTTAAAACCAAATACATACATCTCTCTTTCTCTCTCTCTCTTTCTGTATCTATATAACTCACA